ACAAGTCTCATAAATGAATGCACTTGAGGAAGAGGCTCAGGAGGGGCTGAGAAAAGAAAACCTCTTGTCTAATACAGGGAAAGACAGGCTTTCTAAAAGGTCTAAGCGTACAGGGAGATTGCATATTTCCCGAGGCAAATTCTTACTCTATTCCAGGGATGTTCCTAGGGCTGAGCAGTTACATTCCCCTTGCCCTTTCGCAGTGTTCAGGCATACTTGCAGCTGATGCTACTGGAGTTTAAGAGCAGATAAAATCCCAAAGACCCCAGGACTAGGGTTTATTTTCTTCTCTAATCTGTTTATAGAATTAATGGGAAGTTTTAATGACTTTGTTTACCCATGATGGATAAGTTTGGCAATGCCCCGTCCAATTACTTGGCTGAGGCATTCACTGAGCAGCCCTTTCTGTGTTGACCAATTATTTAATTAAACTGTACTTCATTAATCCCAAACCATCATGGGGAACAGAGCTCTTTACAAAATACACATGTGAGTGAAGTTGGAGAGCACTGAGATTTCTTTTCTTTTTTTTTTTTTTTAATTTCAAATGCTCTCTTCCCTGTTTAATGATCTCCCTGGCAAGCTCTCAGAAAGAGCTCTCACTTCTAGTCATATATCACCAAGAAGTGGCAAAGCCTTCACTATCTTTATTTCAAGATGATTTCTTTTTCATCAAGAAAAGGGTCTTATATATTTACTTTACACTACGGAAATGGCTTAAAAAGAGTCCACTCTATCATTATCTCCATATAAATAAAATTTTACAGACCCCTCATTTTTTCTCCTATAAAAATCGCCACTGGCAGTCACAGGTTTCAAAAGTAAGAGCAATATTAATTTCCATTTCTCCCATCTGAAATGACTCAGAGCTGAAGGAAAGAAAAGTCACGGCCATTTCACTAGTAACAGGATTAAAGCATTTATGAGGCATTGCAGCTGCTCTTTTATGGCACCTGATTGATATTCATGTGTGGTTAGCATTTGTCTACTAACTTGTGTAACGCAGAGAATAGTAAAAGGGAAACAATAATTGCATGGCTGTTACATATTCAGGGGGCTCTGATTCACAGAAGTGTGCATTTCAGATGGTGTCAAATACAAACTGGACCTACAGGAACATATTTTGACTGATTAACATGCAAGCACAGATGGCACAAAAGACACACTGGATGTGTAGGTGTGTTGAAAGCACACACCACACACACCTTGGTTTGAAACAGCAGCATCATTCAATTTCAGCAAACTAAAGAAACAACTTCTTTTTTTTTTTTCAACTGTTTCGATGAGACACTGCTGGAAAAAATTACATGTATTTATCCTAACTTGGACTCCAGAAATACTTATTCTTATTTGTTCTGGCCAATTGTAAGGAAGGGCTTCAACAAGACCCTCTAATGTGTTTATCAGGATTTTTTTTTAAATACTACTTGTCATTTCCAGTTTTTGCGTTTCTATTCTCATCCCGCCACTCCTCCCCACATACACATGCACCCTGCATATACTCCAGGAGAAACTGTAACACAATAGCCCATAGTGACATCCACTGGTAGGGACCAGATCTTAATGCCACAGCTGAATCCCACATTACAGAAAAACACCATCAGCTCCAGAAGATTGCTATTTTTACTGCAACATCTGGGAGGCGAAGTCCTATCCCTCATTGAGATGTTTGGTCTCTACCTCATCAATCAACCAGATATGTGAAAATATGAATGACCGGTAGAATTTCACCTTACATAACCAGATGTTTGGGTAATGGATGAAAACAAGCCAAGAACACACTTAAAAGAAAAAATACTAATCACCTGCTTTCCCACACATTCCTGTTTTCTCTTCCCTCAACTCTGTTTCCTACCTTAGACACCCACTCACAGGCTCTCTTCAGTTTATTTACAAGAGTGGGCGAGTACCAGCACTCCCTCTCCTTTCAGTATCTGTCCCCAAAGCACTGTGTCCCTGAAATCAAGTTGTGGGACTTGGGTGTTGGTGGTTCTGCTGAAAATTGACTCTCTCTCTCTCTCTTTCATTTTTTTCCTGCCATAACTTCATGGAGACAGCTGCACAAATTTTAAAATGATAATTGCTTTCCTGCTCATCATCATTGTGTGACAGAATCCACCACTCAAACAGTGAATGACTGTCTTCCAGCAAATTGTCAGATCAAAAGAATTGATCAACTTGGACTGCCACAAACTTTCCCCCCTTCAAAAACAAGCGCAGTGTGTACACAGCATGCATTTAAATAGGAAACAAAAGCAATGGGATTTTCACACAGAGACACAGATACAATTTATTCACCCAAAACAAAGGAAAGATAAAAAGTTGGCTCTACCTGCAGTTGTAGGTCCGGATCTCTTTGTTGTCTCGCTTGCACTTGATTGCCACAAAGATCATAGTGACAAAGAGGATGCCGGCAATGGAGCCCAGGGCGATAATGAAAATCAGGGACAAGTTCACCGAGCCCATTGACTCTTGGGCGTCAAGAGCAGGGGACAGGTAGATTAGGACTAGTGCAGAGGCAGAGAGAGACGTCTTGCCGTGGTCGTGGGCCACCACAATAAGCTCATAAGAAGCCTTTGAGCTCTCGCCAAAGGTGCGAGTGGTTCTGACTTCGCCATTGACCTGATCTATTTCAAAAAAGCCCCGGTCACCCTCGGTCATGTCGTAGGTGACCCGGCCATTCTCACCCTCGTCGTAGTCATCCGCTTTCACCACGGTCACCAGATAGCCTATGCCAGAGTTGCGGGGGATGTAGACTTCCGCAGTGCCATTGATCAAGGGTGGGGCCGTAATGACCGGGGTATTATCATTGACGTCGAGGATGATGACCCGAACTGTGGCGTTGCTCTGCAGCGAAGGCAGGCCGCCATCCTTGGCCAGGACCTTGAATTCGAATGCCTTGGTCTGCTCGTGGTTGAAGGATCGAAGCGCGTAGATGTCACCCGAGTTGGGGTTGATGGAGACATAGGTGAAGACAGGCATGTCCCGCACCTGCGACGGCACAATCTGGTAGGAGACACTGCCATTGAGACCCAGGTCGGGGTCTCGGGCGGACACGGAAAGCAGGTAGGCGCCAGGTGTGTTGTTCTCCTGCACAATGACCTGGTAGTAAGGCTTGGAAAAGTGCGGGTGGTTGTCATTCTCATCCGTTATGCGAACTGTAAAGGATTTGGCACTCTGCAGCATGGGCACACCGCCATCGCGCGCCTGGATCGTGAGGTTGTACTGGTCATGCTGCTCGCGGTCCAACCGTCCGTCCACTAGGATAGTGGAGAAGCTCTCATACTCCTGCAGCCGAAAGGGCACGTTGCCCAGCAAACGGCATTGCACGCGCCCATTAAGGCCAGAGTCCCGATCAGACACCCGCACCAGTGCAATCACGTAGCCCGGGGGGGCGCTCTCGCTTACCTCCACCAGCTCACTGTTAACTGACAGCAAGTTGATGACCGGCGGGTTGTCATTGGTATCGAGAACGCTGACGGTCACCTTGCAGTGTGCTGGGATGGAGTTGGGCCCCAGGTCCTTGGCCTGCACGTCCAGTTCGTACACGTGCCCCTCTTCGTAGTCTAGGGCACCGGTGACTGTGACCAGGCCACTGTGTGGGTCAATCTGAAAGAGCTCACGTGTGCGGTCGTTGACATAGCCATAGAAGGAGTAGACCACCTGGCCATTGGTGCCTTCGTCTGGGTCGCTGGCATTGAGGCGGATGACAGGTGTATTGGGAGGTGAGTTTTCTGGCACGCTCACTGCATAGGTGGACTCGCCAAACACTGGGTTGTTGTCATTGGAATCGGTCACTTTGATGCTGAGGCCAACAGTGCCCAGATGCGGTGGGTCGCCGCCGTCGAGTGCAGTGATGCGAAAGCTGTAATGCGACTGTGTCTCGCGATCCAGACTTTTCTCCACCACAAGTTCCGCAAACCGTGAGCCATCGCCGCGCGTCTTGATCTCCAGGCCAAACAGCTCATTAGGCGTGAGCTCGTATGTCTGCACGCCGAAGCTGCCTGAGTCTGGGTCATAGGCGCTGTCCAGTGGGATGCGCGTGCCGGGACTAGCTGCCTCGGAGATCTCCAGTTCGATCTGTGCCGCTGGGAAGCTGGGCGCATTGTCGTTCAGGTCCTTGATCTCCACCTTAATCACGCATATCTCCATTGAGCTGGACATGACCTCCAGCGAGATGATGCACTTGGGGCTCTGGCGGCACAGCAGGTCGCGGTCGATCTTCTGCTTGGTGACAAGCAGGCCCGAACTGGGATTAATGTCTACCAGGTGCGGAGCTGAGTTGGACACCACACGGAAGGCAGAGGCCTGCCGTGGATCCAGGGCAAAGCCCGCCTCGCGCGCATCCTTGGCCACGTTGGCAATCACCGTCCCGGCGCGCTGCTCCTCTTCTACCGAGTATTTGAGGTTAATGAGGGCAGCTGCCTGCGTCCACAGTACCGCCAACAGCAGCAGCACCGGCAGCAGGAGCGACTCCATGGCTGCGCGGGGCTCTGCCTGGCCTCGCCTCTCCACACCCCTCCGAGGCCGACGCCGCCGGCGCTCCAGCTTCCCGCTGACTCGGGCCGCCTGTTGCGCGCGCCCCGGGGCCCCGGAGGCCGCGGGAGGAGTCCCCCCCAGGGCGGCCCGGCGGCGCAGGGAAGGCACCCGCGCCGGCTCCAATGCTGAGGTTGCAGCAGACTCGGAGGAGGTTGGCGGGGGGGCCGGGGGTTCCGGGGGGCCAAGGAAGCGCCGCGCGGCCCCGAGCCCCCTCCCTCCAGCCCGGCTACTCAGTTTTCCCCCTTCAAAGTTAGCCAGGCGCGACTGGCCGCAGCGGCGCAGGACTGCGGATTGGACGCCGTCTGAGCTGCCTGGTCGACGGAAGGCTGAGTCTGGACCGCACCTGGGGCGAAGACCCGGAGGGCCGTGGGGGTGCAGCCTCTCAGGCACTGCTCGGCCCGCCGCAGCGCGCCAGTACTGGGGCTGGCGAACGCCTTGTCTGTGCACCTGGCATGCGCAAGGACCTCCCCCCAGCTCTCCTGGCTCACTGCGGAGAGAGAACCCGCCTGGATCGCGCCCTCCGAGGTCCGGGGGGGCCACGCTGGCCTTTTCAAGGTCTGTTGGGGAGAAATGATGATCAAAGGTGGGACTCTGAGTTGCTGTCAAACGCCGCAGGCTCCCGGGTATCCAGCTGAGCCGGATGGCTGCCGGTGGCCAGCGGAGGAAGGGGGAGGGGAGACAGGGAGGCTGCTGAGACAAGAGCGTGCTCCCTCGCGCCAAGGTTGGCTTCCGAAGGCTTGGGGGATGCGTCTGCCCAGGATTGGAGGTGGGCGCGGAGTCCCCTCCACAGAGCAGCTGGACTGCGGGTGTTTGCGTCTTGGAAATCAAAGTTACCAACGCAGCCCAAGCCTCCACGTCAAGTTTGCGAAAACGGGGCGATGGCGATTTATCAAAGTCCAGTTCTTTCCAATGGCCCGGGGTGGGGGGAGGGGAATGGGGAAGAGGGGAGGGAAAGCGACAACAGTACCAGCCAGGAAAGGCGGGGCCGCTGCCGCGGGTACCCAGGGCTTCACCTCCTCCCTTGGTCTAGGCTGGGATGTCGCTCTGAGGGCCGCCGCTGCCGTGCCGCCGCCGCCGCCGCGGGAAGAAATGCTCCTAGCTCAGTCGAATGTCGCTAAGGTCCTCCTCAGCAGCTGCCACGGTCGACAGTCATGTCGCCGCCAAAGTTTACTTGCTGGAGCGTCCTGATTCCATCCTCCCAGCAAGGCACTGGCCGCGCTGCGTTTGGGCTCCCTCCCTCCCGGACGCTCTTGCACTCGGGAGGTCTGTCTTGCTCGCTTTCTGTCAGGCTGTGTGTGAATGTGTGAGAGAGGAAGAGTGAGTGTGTGGTGCGGGGAGTGTGAGTGTGGAGTGTGAGCGTGCAGGGGTGGGAGGTTTCGAATCTGCGATGAATGCGCTCAGCCGGAATGCCGCCGAGCGCAACGCGCCAAGGGCCTGCACCAGGCTACGGACGCGAGTGCCACTGCCCTCTGGGCAAGTCCGGCATGGTGTGCTGGAGCTGTGCTGCCGTCGGCGCTCGCTGGTCTGTCTCCCCCTGAGCCCTCCACCGCCGCTATTGCTGCTGCTGCTCCTCCCGATGCCGCAAACTACTGGCGGTGGAGTCTAGAGAGAGCCGGAGAGAGCCGGAGCAGCCGAGCCCGGCTACGCCAGGCGCTGGCCAATCAGCGCGCCGCGAGCGGGCTCTGGGCTTGGGGCGGGGCCAAGGCGCGGGGGCGGGGCGGGGCGGGGCCAGCCGGAAACTTACACACTGGCGAGACCGTGTGGTACCCCGGCCAGTGGAGCCAGGGCGGGAGCGTGAGGAGGCCTGGCGGGCAGGGCAGGCGCGGGCAAGAGGACTCGGTGGAGTGGAGAGGGAGTGTGCTGGCGATGAGGCTGAGCATCCACGGGAACTGCGCGCCTCTCATGTTTGTAGATTGCAGAAAAGATGAGGATGTGATTCTCTCGATGTGTTCATCACATATTCATATTCATATTCTTTCTCTTCACCACCCCTCCCTCTTTGTCTCTTCACCCTGGGTTTTGTCTGTCAGCTTCTCTACCTTCCTCTCCTCTCCTTCTCGGGTACTGGAAGGAAAAAGGAAAGGAGAAAGCGCCCCCGAGGTGGTCATTCGTCCAGCTCTTGGCCAGTGAGTCTTCACCTCAGCTGAGAACCGCGGCAGCCATCCTCCCGGACAGTCACCTCCATCCCTCCTTCTCCGGCGAACGCTGCACTTATTCTCTCAGAGCAGGGCCTTTGGCCCGGTTCAGTTCGCTCTTATCTGTTCCTTCTTGGTCAGATGGGGTCCGTGTCGCAGGGATTGAACCGCGGAGAGGGCTGGACAAATTGCGTAGCCCCTCACCCCACCCTGTTGGAGAATTTAGCTCCCTATAAATAAACTGTTCGCTGGAGAAGAGCGGGTGGAGCGGACGCCGCGGTGCCGCGCCATGCTGGGTGAGCCCCCAGCCCTGCGGGAGCTTCGAGGCAGGCGCGCAGTCCCCGTTGGTGGCCGGCAGCTGGAGCTGGCGCCCTTGTGTGAGGCACCCTAGCCTTCCCGCGGGGTCTCAGTCTCAGGGTACTGCCAGCTCCTCTCAGGGGGTGGTGGCGACAGCTGCGGCCTCTGCCAGTGCTGGGAAGCGGGAGGCCGGCGTGGCTGGGGCTGACATCAAATTCAGCTTGCCTCCGGACTAAGGCTCCCTGAGGACAGAGGGGGAGTCCTCCCTGCTCTGTTCTGTGGCTCTTAATTAAGGTCACCAGCAGGAAGAATCAAAAACACCCCGCTGAACAAGTTGGGTATTTGGTGTTTTTTTTTTTGTTTTTTTTTTTAATCGTAGATCGGGGATGGCGGGGACCGGCTCCTGAATTCACAATACTTGGAAGAGTAAACCTACCTTCTGAGTGAGTCGTCTCGGATATTTGGGAGTCTTGGTTGAGCAAACTCATAATTAGCCACAGCGACATTGGTCCAAGCTTGTGGGCCTAAAATGAGACTCACTTTTGCTTTTTAAAAACATTAAACAAGGAAAGGGGAAATGGCATTTGGAAACACAATAGGTTTTCTCAAAAAATGCCACCTTTTTGCAGAAAGCAACCGAGCTTCTTTAAAAAAATACATATTTCTCCTTCCAAGAGGAGCTAGTTTAGCAGCCTTTACTTTGGTGGGGGTGAAGGAGAAGACCGCTTCCTCCTTAAAAAAGGAATTATTTCAGGAGTGACGTTACAACCCCATGAACGTGCATCTGAAACCAAGGGGAGGGCGCGGGCAACCTGATCGGCTTTCGGCGTGGGGATCCTTTCACTCTTTCGAATTATGATGCAATTCAGACCAAAACAGCAAAGGAGAAAATTGGGGCATCTTCAATAAGTATCATTTAATTTTGGTCATTTAGATGTGGACAGCAGAGTTATGGCTCAAGGGAACCCAGTGGCCCTCCCTGTTTTCTGCAGACCCGGTTGTAAAAATGGGCAAGTAGTGGAGGAGAATGACAACATGGCAGGCAGTGTGGGCGCATCTCAGAGCTCTGCAAAGAGATGGGCTTCATTTGATTTATCACAGTTATTTATCTTTGATGTCAGCAAGTAGAGTGGGAATGAAGTGCATCTTAGTCTAATTAAAAAGGCCTAGAAAGGCATTTGAAATGGGTTTGCTCTCTGATCACGGGATGTGAGTTCGGCGTTTGGCAGCTTTCTAAAATATTACTTGGACTATTTAAACAGAACAATTAGCAGCATGCTAAAATGTTTGCATGCTATGCTTAGAAGCTTTTAGCTGTAAACTCTAAGGCGATCTGTTCCCCTTTAAGTTAAAAAAGGATGATGCTGCTTCCTTGTGGTGAAGGCTGTCAGGAACCCGCTGATCAATAAAAGTAAACTGGCGCCTCCACGGCGTGATTGAGCTGGAGCAAAGAGTCTGAGAAGTAGTCTCGGCCATTAACAATCCCCTAGGTAACGAGAAATGGAAGAATTACTCAGGTGAAATGATTAACATTGCTGTGGCATCTGTAAAGATGCACACAATAAGATAAGGCTGCGGACCTCTTACCTTGGGGAGTGCTAATAGAATGTCTATATTCTGCTGTCTTTTAAAGATAAATAGGAGAATTCAATTCACGTACAATGTCATTACCTTTGTAATTGCAATCACATTGTAAAGACATGTTCTGCATTTGCAAAGACAAACGGGCTCTTCTGTAAGGATATGACATCGGTTTCCCTGCTTCCAGCCCACTGTTCACACCCGAGGTGCTCCTCCTTTCCAAGCAGAGCACCCCAAGTACTTCTAGCTATACTAAACCACTTTTATGGAAGCCAGGCTCTGAGGGAGGCAGAAGAGTGTGCCTTTGCTTTCCTTCTTTCACATCACCCCCAAGCTCAAAGTGATAGTTATACCTCCCCTCCAAAAGTTAGCTCTTCCATCCCCCAGTCTATTGCTACAGATAATCCTAACACCCTTTGCTCCCAGAATGTGGGGGTTTTTTTTTCCCCTACCTGGCACATTTGATCATTATACTCCAACAATGCTATTGACTAAACGAGTGGCAGAAAACACCTTCACGATCAGGAATTTATTAATTAACTTAATAAAACAGTTCTGGGAGGGGGGAACTGTTCTGGGTGAGGAGAGTAAAAATAAAAAAAGAAAGTTCTCTCAGTCCTAGCTTTACTTCAATCCTTAAGGGAGCCCCGCCTCCTCAGCCTCTTTAGAGACACAAGAGGGACATCTAGTGACCGTCCTCAGTATATTTGCTCCAACTTTTGCTGAGATACACTGGGGTGCTAGATACAAACTACAGGGCTGTGCAGCCTGGGCCAGCTCTCTGGGTCACTGAGGCCAGAGTCAAAACTAGTAAGACTTCTTTTATCTTTAAAATTTCAGCCACACCACTGAAACAGTGCTTAAGGGCAATGGAAGAAGACCAAAATGGGTATATCCTTACATTTAAATTGAGCCAGTGTGTAAAGATAATTCTTATTGTTCTGATATTAGTAGGGATAGGGTAAAAAGGTTTTGTTCAAAAAGGTAAAAATTATGGTAAGTCTTAAGGTACCAAGATATGAAGACTGTAGCACTGACAAGTTTAAGGGAGCTTTCTGAGATGTGTTTTTAAAATGTTTGCTTCAAGCTACAAAGAGATTAGCCTTCAAATTACTGCATTTTCTCTGTCTCCCCCAACCCCCTCATCCCATCCCTTTGCCTTTGCTGCAAAAATGTGGATTATCTCCTAGCTTGGCTTTCATTGCATCTCATGGGCATCCCATTGTCTACCCAACCAATTTGACGAGATGCCTGATGAAGTTCTCTTAGGAAGAAAAGTTTTATTAAAAAAATAATAACCAAAGTCAAGCTTTTTCCAGCCTGCATATCTGGTCTCCTTACTTGGGTTATAATGCCTAGAGTAGAGAAAATCAAAAATGACAGTGGATGAAACAGCACAAAACTGGAAAGTGTCCTTATTAAAGTCATCATCTTATTTAATCTTTACAGTATCTCTGGGAGGTAAAGAGACTTTGCAGATGTGGAAGCAGAGCTGCAGAGTAGTTCAATGATTTGCCGAGATGACCTCACTACACAAAACTT